ACACACACACACACACACACACACACACACACACACACACACAGATCACAATATCGCCTTTCTGTCGTCAACGACCATTAAAAAGTTCACCAGTGAAGCAGATAAAACTTGTGTCCTCTTTATTTTAAGTATATTGTGCTTGGAACCACATGTTCCAGGTATTTAGATAATAATTATTAAAAATAATAAAAAGTGATAAGAACTTTTGTTGATATTAAAATGAGTTTTTCTGTTTCCAGCTCCTCGTTCAGCTCCAGTGCCTTCTCCTCGTCTCAGACCTCCTCTCATTCGTTTTCCCACCCTTAAGTCTAAACACACTCCTGCCTCGTTGCCCCCTCCCCTCCCACCCAGAGGTGAGTTTACCCCCCTCCCCCTCTTCTCTCCCCCCTCCTCTATCTTTTTGTTTCTTCATCCCTCTGTTCTGTTTCATCAGTGGGCGAGATGGAGGCAGAAAACAGGTTGAAGGCCAACATCAACGTTGTGTCCCTCAGGGTTGGACAACTGGTCAACATCAGCCCAGGTCTCTCACACACACACACACACACACACACACACACACACACACACACACACACACACACACACACACACACACACACACAGTTCATGTCTTTTTACCCCTTTTCTTGTCCAACCATCCACAGACCAGGAGACGTCTCAGAGCCCAGTGGTTTGTGGGAGATGTAGTGCTGCCTTGTCATGTCTGAGTTCTCCACAGAGGAACGTGAGTCATAATTTATTTCACTTATTCATCAATTTTCTAGTTTTTTCTTTTCTTTCATTGTTTTTTTGGGGGATTTTTCTCTCATAGTCGTGTTTTTTTTGTTATTGTACCGTTTCTTTTAAAATCAACAGAGTGAAGGCTCTTTAAATAAAATGAGAAATAAGATATCTCTCTTCTTCTTCTTCTTCTTCTTCTCGTCCAGATGTGGGCGTGCGAGTTTTGTGGATGTGCAAACAGCGTGCACGTGGATGTGAAGGGAGCGTGCACGGGTCGGTGCACAGGCGACCACAGTGACGACCTTTACCTGCTGAGCGAGATCAACGACGACTACCAGAACCTGGAGGACTCGCTGGTGGTGTTCTGTGTGGACATATCTGGCAGCATGAGCGTCACCACAGAGGTGTGTGTGTGTGTGTGTGTGTGTGTGTGTGTGTGTGTGTGAATAATGTTTTGAGGGTTTATCTCCACGTGGACAAAACATTTTCCAACGTAACCTAAATCGTGCAGAAGACCTTCAAACATAACATGTTCAACATAATAAAAGCCAGAGTAGTTGAACAGATAAACAGAAGAGCCGTGCTGTCTCTAAGTTTAACTGGAGGAGAAGTTGTGAGTCACTTATTTAATTCAGTGTAATAATAAGTGTGTGTCACATTTTCTCTTCCCCTCAGGTCCCGTCGAGCAGTGGACGTCTAGCGTACGTATCCAGGCTGGAGGTGAGACGACTGCAGGAAGTTTTGCGGCTGACGTGTTGCTCATGTGTCGGAGTGAAAACATATTTTGTGAGATAATATTTATCTGTTTTTTCTTTTGTCTTCACAGGGCATCCAGGACGCCCTCCAGAGGGCGCTGTCATCCATGCTGCAGGATTCCCCACACAGGAGAGTGGCACTGGTGACTTTCAGTGATGAGGCAGGAACATTTTTAAATTAACTTATTAAACTATGATTATAATTATTATATAATTTTAAGTATTTATGGAAAAAAAAAAAATTTTTTATTGTGAACTGAACTGTTTGAATGATGGGATTTAAACTGGCACGAGTGAGAAATACGATTTCCAGAAAATCATGAAAAGTTTTAACACAATCAAACAACAGATAATGAAAAAGACATTTTTAAAAGTTAGTTAAAAGTTATTAAATCTATCTCCTCTAAAAGTTTTAGTTTTTTTTACGATCAATTAAATAAAATCTTGATTCAAAGAATCACAACATTACAAACAAACACTCAAACACCAAACGCACAAAATATAAAAACTATTAAAAGAAGAATTAGGATAAAACAACGAGTCCAGCCGCTGATCCCTCCACAGCAACAATTTAAATATAATTCTATTTGTAGAAACAAACTTTCATTATAATCCCAGTGGAATAAATTCAAACCTGAGCAGTTGTTTGTTCTCTGAAAAACATTCGACTCATCGTAAAATAACAAGAACAAGAGAAGGGAACTTCCTGTTCATTTCTGCAGAAGTTGTTTTTCTCCCTTTTTACTGTAAATGACAGAAGCTGGTTTCTATTTAAATACAGAAATATACTTTTTTATTTTAAATGTTTCAGCTGATGTTTTATTCTGTCTTTTATTTTGTTTTCTATTAGTTTTATCATGAATATTTTAACTGCTTTTATGTGTGAAGCACTTTGTGTTTTTTTATGTGTGAAGCACTTTGTGTTTTTTTATGTTTTATCACTATGTTATTTATTTAAAGCTCATTTTTGTGGAAACACAAATGAAATGTTAGATTCTCCATCATTCTTCGTCATTCAGGTCGTGATCTACGGCGATGGCACCAGTTCTCCTGTAACTCTCAGGGATTGGGCGTTGGTCGACTACGACCACATATGGGGACAGGGTGTGGCCTACAGCATCCCACACTGCATTGCGGAAACGTTCCAGCAACTGATTCAAAGAGTCAAAGAGTGAGTGTGTTTGTATTTTCGTATCTTAAATGCTGCCTCCCTGTGGAACATGTCTGTAATCCCAGTTCATGTCAACATATATAATCTAGCCTCACGGAACACGGGGCCACGTGTCTCGGCCCTGCGGTGTTAGCCTCGGTTGCCATGGCGTCAAGGTACCCTGGGTCAAAGGTGAGCAAGTCTCCTGGGCTTTAATGTAAAAGTGTGACATCATAAGTTCCTTTGCAGAGATATGTGTAAACAGTTTTTATGAATATTAATATTTCTATTATTAGACACACGTGTAGGTTTGTTTGCTCTTGGCGAAGGTAATGATTGACAGCCTCCTCATTAGCAGCTATAACCAATCCGGCTCAGGACTTGAGCCTGCCTACCTAATTAACATACGTACGCAGAAATACAGAAATCAACATGTAAACATTAAAAGAGTGAGATTTTATTTCTTTAAATTGAATTTCAATGCTCTGGTTTAAGAATAGACTGTAATAATAATGGGTGTTCAGTTGACTGCCTGTGGAAACTGCTGCTGACAGGAAGCTCCTGATCTCCTGCAGGTGATTCTGTGTACTGACGGCAGAGCCAACATCGGACTGGGTGAGATGGAGCAAACTCCGTCCCCTTCGCTCCTGACACCACATTTCTACAGACAGCTGGCCCAGCAGGCTGTGGACAGTGGGTGAGGACATGAATAACAAATCTATTTAAACCCTATAATTAAAAAAACATTTAAATAAAACATGTTGTCTGTCTTTTTTATCTCCAAGAGTCATAATATCAGTGATGAGCTTTGAGGGGACGGACTGTCGCTTGGCTGATGTCGGGAGATTGGCAGACACGACGGGAGGAAGGGTGAGACATGCACATACAGTACATGTACATGTGCATACATTACATTTACATACAGTACATGCTTGTGAAGTACAACTGGCACTAAGGAACAAGCTTTTACTATTACTGGACTTAACGGGCCGGTTGTACTTAAAGCAACTCTGTGTAAGTTTTGCCTGAGCAGTAGCAACAGCGCCCTCTGGAGCCACAACTCATAGCCAACACATTAGTCGCACAGCCGTGAAGTTGCCGTTGTGACACCGCCCAGGCGCTTTAAGGTTGTGTGAAGTTGCTATGACAACAGTCAGTCACTAAACAAGCTGCCAGAGGGCGTGATCATGTTCCGTCAACATGGAGTCGTGGCCGCTCGGCTGCTAAAACAAACACACGCATGTTCTTGTGTGCTCTCATGATGAAACGCTGATAATCGATGAACTCCCTCTCCTGCACAGGTGAACATCGTGTCTATTGGTACCATAGCAACGGAGATCCACTCAGCATCCATGGACAACGTCCTAGCGACGGGAGTCACGGCAACACTGGTTGCTTGTGATGGAATGTGGGTGGTGACTGATAGTTCCTCCCTCTCTACATCCATCCATTCATCTCTTTCATATTTATCTGCATGAACTCTTTCTGATTCTCGTTCTCTCTAGTTTTTTCCCCCACGAGGATGAAACCGATCACAAACTGGTGAGGGAGATAGGGAACGTGACCAGTGGGCTCGAGATCACCTTCGAGTTCGCCGTCAAACCGGAGTTCATGGAGGGTGAGGCCGCCGATAAGCTCGACAAACACAATCAGCATTTACTGTACGTGTGTTACGTCTGTTTACATTACGGGAATGTGACCTGGCGGTGCTCCCGCAGAGACAACAAGTCGAGTGTTTGTTCTGTTTAGCAGCTTGGGAACGTTTGAAACTGTGCTAAGCTGTTATTAAAATATATTGTGTGTGTGTGTGTGTGTGTGTGTCAGATTTCCTTCAGAAGGACAAACTCCCATTCCAACTCCAGCTGAGCTTCAAGACCAGAGATCAACATCGAGTCACTCGCATCATAACCGAGCGACGACCAGTGACCTCCTGCAGGTGAAGACAAAAATGATCTGGAAATTTACCTGATACGTCAACACTGATCCAGAGTTAAAGCTCCACGTCAGCATTTATCTGCATCCGTGCGTTTTCAAAATAAAACAGTCGGACGGATTCAGCTGGATTCTGTGTTTGTAAAAACAAAGATAATCTTCATAAGAATATTATAAGATTTATACGTTTTAAGTATGAAGTCGTAATATTCGAATTATAATGAATTGATAATATAAAAATCAAGTTTGACAGTTGAGCATGAAGTTTGTGATCTGCTGTGATTGGATCATTTTTTCATTTCTATCATTTCCTCGTCTTTATCGCGTGTCCTGTGTCGGTGTGAAGTCGGATCGGTGCCGGTAGTTTCAACATGGCGGTGCTCGGCGTGCACGGTGCTCAGCTCTGTGCCAGTTTAACCATGGAGGGTCGAGTGCAGGACGCACAGAAGCAACTGAAGGCACAGCAAGACCTGCTGACACAAATCAGGTACGAGGGTCTGACCTCTGAACTAACCGCACCCTAGTGTTTACACAACTAATGTTTACACAGTAAAACTGGAATAAAGACTAACATCCATCTGTATTAATGTGAGTGTTTGTGTGTCTGTCTGCGTGTTGATGTTGTTTTTCTCGGTAACAAACTTTTCCTCTTTCTGCCCTGAAGTGAGCAAAGGCCGATCGAAACGGAGGAGAGGATCTACGGCAACTGGATGGACACCATGACAACTATCTGTGACGACATCACGGCAGAGTCCCACGTAAACAATGAAGTCACACGACTCACATTTCAGATTTGAGGTTTTCATTCCGTAAAGGGACGATTTATAGATTGTCGTTCTTAAAATGCTATCCTGTCTTCATCAAACTGTTCTTGACGATAACTTGATGTGATGAGTAATTTGAAACTATGTCAACTTTAAATATGTTTTAATGAAACTACAGCCAGAAAACCAGAGCCAGTCCAGCTGTTTCCAGTCCTAATGCTAAGCTACGCTAGCTGGCTCTCATCTTTAGTTGAACATGTTATTTGTCAGGCATGAATATTAAAATCAGTTTTTCGCTGCAGATGCTCTCAGACGAAGCAGCCGAGGTCATGTACCAGATGAGGAGAGCGACCAGCGTCGGCAACCAAAACAGCAACGCAACTCAGAACCAGCAGAAGCCCGCGAAGAAGAAAAAGACCTTCATAATGAAAAGAAAGTAAAAAAAAAAAAAACCTCAGTGGACCAGAACTGAACTGAAAATGATTTTAGTGAAAATGACTTTAACGCTGTAAAGACGTGAACGAGACCATGGATACGGTGCAAAGGTGAATGAGATCGATTGGATGAAAGCTTTGACGCTACGACTCGATCGAGGGATGGAGGCATCGGCGCTGGATGATCGCGGCGAGAGAATCAATGACATGTCAGACCAGGGACGAGTGGGAGTTCTATTTATGTGTCACAAGGACTGACGACGTCAAAGCGGAGAAATCTTTTTATACGTTTTATATTTATATGGATTTCTGTTTTTCCAGGATCGATTCTATTTGTTTCATGTGAGATAAAATCATTTACAGATCATGTTAAATCGTGTTGTTGGTTTTTGGAGACCAGGAGTAACCATATTCGGAGGCAATGGGGGGTGGAGCATGATTGAGAGCTGGAGGACACTGCACGCCCACCTACACGTGCCACCTGCACCCATTGGACGGTACTGGCTGTCAATCACACTGTGGTATCCACCCCCAAGTCACACAGTGGTTTATGGTCCGCTTGACTCTAAATGATCAGAATTGACCAAATGAATCAGCTGCATCGAAGAAACTAGAGATTGAGACTTAAACTCCTTCGGAAAATGTTTTCTGACGTCATAAAGTGAGAAGTAGTTCTCATAGACTTCTATAGAAACAACCAGTGGAGTCACCCCCTGCTGGTCAGAGAGAGAATACAGGTTGCAGGTATAAAATAGAAACCGAAACATGCAGTATAGTGTAATATCCAAACAGTTAATGCTGAACAGGAATTTCCATTTCAACGACCCGACACTTAGATACTGTTTATTTGTATAAAACCAGCTGTTCTCTCGAACCACAGCAGATTGAACACAGACGCACACGACAGCTTGTTTCATTGTTGGAGGCTTTTTTAATTTATTTTTCTCGTGATGAAAAGCGGCTCCCGCTCCGGTACAAGGGCGAGTTCCAAGCATCCATTCAGGTTCCTCTTACTTAGAGATCTGAAGACACATCACAGCTGCTGGTCACTGAGTTCCTCAAATTTACAAATTGTAAAGAGATAAAGAAGTAAAATGAGACGGCAAAAAGCAAACACAAACACAAAGCAGTGTGTGTCTGTGTGTCTGTGTGTGATTAGATGTTTTTGGCACAGACAGACGAGTATTTGTTGGTACACATCTCGTCATCCCAGCACTTGCGGCCTGTAAGAGAAAAAAGACGTCACTGAATGCAACAAAACACAACAGGAACTTCTTCCATAGTTCGTAATTAAAGATGGACGACGTGACAACTCCCAAAGGGAAGCTAAAATATCTCTATCGCCCTCTGGTGGCTGGCTGCAGCATAGGTCATAAACCCTGCCTCATTCATGTTAGCAGAGCAAACATAAAAATCTAAGTTTGCATCAAATACATTTTTCTCAAAAATAGTTTGTCATTTTCGTCTGTTCTTATTAAACTGATATTTGGTAAATTACCAAATAATAGCCGGGTTTTAATTAAACGCCGGGTGCAGGTGTATATTTTGATAAATAACCACCGGTTCCGAATAAATGTCGGGTCCAATTTAGAAGAAGTGACCACTGCACGTTTTTCTTCTTCGTCTTTTTCACGTATTGTGCTTGCTTTCTGTCGCCATGGCTCCGGTGCAGCAAAAAAATAACAAGTACGACTTGAAGTTCGAACTTTCTGTCGTAAAACACGCAGAGGAAAACTCTGGAGGAGCAGCCGCTACACGTTTCTCTGTCGACCCCAAGGAGAAAAAATAAAACGGAGCTTCGGCGTCTGTCCGAGGAGGACAGCAAAAGAGCATCGTCCATCTTTATTCGCACTCTATGATTTATCCTGTGAAGCAGAGTAAACAACACTACACACAGCTACAGGCTAACGTCTCGCTGCTATCATCACCACGCTAATTGCGATAAACTAAATTGACGAAGCATTCTCAAAACAACACACTGTAAAATCATTCGCATAAATAATAACAAATATTTGAACACTGTTGAAAACTAAGAATACTTCTACATGAGGCGTTTATTAGAAATACTGTGATTTACCTCCGTTGTAGGTGAACATACAGTTCTGATTCCAATGATAGTTCAAACTACCACAGTGCCTGTAATTTAAACTTGTCCCGTCGCACCACAACGAAAGGCCCTCCTGAGCGACAGAAAACAATTAAACACTGTACGGATAAATACATATGTGAGTAAATAACATTGGAATGACTGTGTGATGTAACTAAGTACACTCTGGCAGACAGGTCCTCCGAGCCACGTCCTTCCGAGCCCACGCGAGGCCTTCGTGATGAAAATCTGAATCCTGCGAAGCTCGTTCCAGCCGTGCACGGTCGCGAGGTTTGCATTCATGGACTGGCAGTTTTTCTGCAGTGGAGAGATTTGCGGTACAAAAAATTAAGGTAAAAGTTACAGAACAAAATAAAAGCTTTATCGCAGATCTGATTACCTCAGCCGTAGCCCAGTTCATCTGAGCTGGAACGTAGAGGAAACAGCGGCCGTGGATCCTCGTCCAAGAGGCGGGACAATCCTCGTGTCTCGTTGCTGAACGGGAAATAGAAAAGATAGACAGGAGCATTGCATGGCATCGCGGTGAGTCTGCGACAAACTTAAAGCTTCGGGATTGGAACTCACCATCAGCTCCGGTCAGAGCCATCGCGGCAAAAAGAAGCACGGACAAAGCCAACGTCTTCATGGTGGAACCGAGGCTGCAGACACTGAAGACGACCGTCTTATACCTGCGAAGAGAGGAGGAGAGAGGAGGAGAGAGGGGGAGAGAGGGGAGGAAACGTGGTAACTTCTCGTTCTTGGACTGAGGTGAGACACACAAACAAATGACCAGCACATTTTTTATCTTAACCTCCATGACACAGAGGAAAAGTGTGTTAAAATGTCCCTGAGTACACAGCGAGTGTCACAAATACACTGAGCATTGTGTGTAAATATCTCAGTGTTTTGTTCTTAGCTATTGTTGTTTAGTATATTCTTATATTTATATTAATTCCAGTGTTTCGCACAGAAACATCGTGCATCGTACAACGCAGAGACGGTTCTTGCACCAGAGGTCGTGTGTCAGCAGCCTCAGGTTCCGTTTTCATCAGACGCACTGAAGTGACGTTGCAGAACGTACAAGAGGAACAAACACGACTGGTGCTGCCGACCAGGAGATAACGCAGAGTTCTGCAAATGACTGTCGTTTGACGCGACAAAGACAAATACTGTTTTTAATCATCATGCGACGATATCGCTGTGGATTTAATTTGTATTCGAGGTATCTGAATTACCGTCACCCTGACGAGCCATTAGATAAAAAGCACTGATGTATTTATTTCCTGTTTTATCAAACTGCCGCAAGATGAGTGTCGTCAAAAGTACCACGATGACCAGACGACACTGTATTCTGGAAATTAACCACGAGAAGAGAATCTACATTTTGAATGATGGACGAGTGTGAGAGATGTGACGTGATGTCGACAAGCGGCTGCAAATGAAATATACTTTTTTGCGATGTCGGTTGCCAACAGGTCAACTCGACCGAAAACTAAACGTCCACAACTGAGGAAATCGTTGGTTGAAGATGTTTTGGAACAACATCCTGTTTGGGAACACGATGTCTGAGAGCTCTGCTTATCTCGTTCTGGCCGTAGCGCTTCGCCGGTCGGAAGGAATTAGAAACGCGAAAAAGGAGGGAGGACGCAAACTCGTGAACACAATAGACACACAAAAACGCACACAACGAGCACGGAGCTCTGAAACAAGGGCAGGTGGCGTAACACACATTTCACAGATGGTGGAGGAGACAAGGAGAACACTTCAGTTGTTATTGTCCTTAAACTGCCGGTTGTGATGAATCAACCGAGGACACTTATTAATAAACATATTGATATTGATCAATGCAGCTTTAATACAATGTGTTGTTCTTAAATGATGAAAATATCTTTGTGACTCGTAAACGTGTGAAATGAGGAACACGATGAGTGTTCCTCATTTCAGATAAAGTCTCAGCTGACTCACTTCTTGTCGCCGCTCAAGAAAACTTGATTTGTTCTTTTGTGAAAGTTGAACACAAAATGGAAACAATGTCGTTTGGAAGTTTTTAAGAAATATTTAGTAGGTTGCAGATTTGGAGCCATGGCCCTTTGACCTACTTTGTGTGTGTGTGTGTGTGTGTGTGTGTGTGTGTGTGTGTGTGTGTGTGTGTGTGTGTGTGTGTGTGTGTGTGTGTGTGTCATTCCTCCATCTTAACCAGTCCTGCAGCCCTGACCTGACAAACCGTGAGACAGGTGAGTGGGCGTGGAGTGACTTTTTAATGGAAAATGACAACTCACACACTCACACTCACACACACACAGACAGACACACACACACACACACACATACACAGACAGACACACCTTTATATGCTACAGCCGGAGAGGCAGACACACTTCATAAGTGAGAGTTTGAGTCTAAAGATCAAGACACAATATTGAGAAGAATTTACGTCTCTGGAGCTTTTTTGGATTCACCTTAAAAAAGTGAAACACCAGCGACGATCATCATCATCATCATCATCATCATCATCATCATCACCTGCACAGGTAACAGCTTTACCTTATTTTATATTTAAGGTTTAAGAATCTCAACATCTTATTTTGTCCAACGAACTGTTTAAAAACGCAAATATATCAAGTTACACGAACACACACGTGAGAAGAGCGTGACAGAGAAGACAGAAAATGTTTTTTTTAATTCTTGCGTCTCGACAAAAAGACGACGTGTGGAAATATTTCTTTCTTTTTAACATTAGTTTTTAATACAACAGTGATTTTATATATTTGAACTTTGCTTTTAAAACATATTCTATTCTTCGTAATGTCTTGAAGACAAAGACAAGACAAACTTTCTTGAATCTTAAAATATCAGGTAGTAAATCTATGTATGAATACGTAGCTACTTATTAAAACCAAGTTCTTATACGTCATCTGAGCCAAGTGTATTTTTGTTCTTACAGAAGATTGTTTAATCATTTATTAGAATAACTGCAGTGAAGGAATTATTATAATATTGACTTCGATTCATAAAGCACCTTTAACACACTTGATAGTTTTAGGAAACAAGAATAAAACAAATCGAGGACAGAAAATAAAACGTTCAGGAGCATTTAGGTTTAAAGACACTTTCAGAGGACAAAGGCCTCGGGGTGTACGACTGCACTTAAAAGCGTGCGTGATTATCCACGACACAATCTCTGTTCTCTTCATTCCTCAGATCTTCTGACTTTTCTAATCTGATTCAAAAACGCAGCAGAGATATGTGTGTCTTCAGTTATTTCCTCTGTCAAGGATGTTAAGTTTTCAGCCCTGCACGTCGGTTTGGTTGTTTGTTTGTGAGCAGGATTATGAGGAAAAGTAATAAGTACGAGGGACCGATATCTATTCAGCTGCTGTACGAGAAACCGAGCGATGCGCCTGTAAACGCTGAGCCCGTGCGGACTGTCTCTCTCTGCAGGATGTCTTTATGTGGCAGTTTTCTGTCCGACGAGCAGTTCCAGTGCTCCATCTGCCTCGATGTGTTCAACAACCCTTCGTCCACGCCGTGCGGCCACAGCTTCTGCATGGCCTGCATCAGCAGATACTGGGATGGATGCAAGGTGTGTCTCCATCTTTTTTATTTTCCTTCCTTCCTTCCCGCTCTGCGTCACCTTGTTTCCCTTCTGACTTTGTTTCTTTCTCTCTTTTGTTCATTTCTTTTTCTTTGTCTCTCTCGTGAGCACTGTTCACATTATAACACTCGATATCGTCATTGGCCTGCGGTGTATCAGTGCGGATGTGAGTCACAGTCACCATCAGTTTTCTCCCAAACATTATTAGCTGGAAATTTCTTAAAAACCTTGAAGAAGGAGTAAAGGAAATAGCAAAATACAACTTATAATGATATTCAAACATGAAGTCTCCTTCTCCTCTTCCTCTGCTCTTCCTCCTCCAGGTTTGCCAGTGTCCTCTGTGTAAGAAAACCTTCCCGAAGCGACCGGACCTGCAGATCAACCGGACGCTGCGGGAGATCACCGAGCAGTTCCGATGCATGAGGGGCGGAGGAGGAGGAGGAGGAGTGATGGGAGGAGCTGGGATGGAGAGGAAGAGAGGAGACAGAGGAAACATACCTGATTATTTATTTGATGAACTGAAGAAGAAGTTTCCTGGAGCGCTGCCAAAGTCACCGGAGACGCTGACGTATGAGACTCAGTCCCTGGGTAAGACAGAGACATGAGACCACATCAGTCTATGGAGACAAAATTTGACATTGTCTTGTCTCTAGTCAGTCCGTCAGATATGTTTACATGGACGTTAACGTTCGTTTACACTCACAATACATTTAATTCTTTTAAAAGGATCTTTTAAGACAAGAGACACTGAAACAAGAACAATCTTTAAACAACAGTGTAACCAGGTGAACAGGTGGTGCCTTCGGGGGAGGGGGGGGGTGAGCTCTCCGTGCTGAATACCTCAGCAGCTCTGACAGATGATCTCCTGTCAGCTGCAGGGATACACGACAGACCTCACACAGATATGTGGCACAGCAGCAATCTTCCCCCGGCACACGCAGATTTTAACACGTGTTCTGCGTTTGTGTAACACGCAGAACAGAGGAAGGTCATAAGAACGTCATGTAGCGCTGCAGGCATTTGATTCTAACCCACTTCTGCCATTCCACTGATATAAGTTTGAGGTTGTGTGGTTTTTTTAAATTTATTTCAGCTTTAGATTGTCTTAAAGGTATTTGTGGTTTTACATTGGAAAATGTGTTTTTGTCGACTTTGACCTTTAACCAATCAGTCGATCATGTGGAGATAAATTCCCGAATTTTATTCTCAAGAAGTTTGGTGAAAGTGCTTCTATGCTTTGTTGAGTTATTTTGTACACACACACACACACACTATACGAAGACGAGCGTCACGACGGCTCCTTTAAAAGTGAAGCCTAAGGATCTTGATTGCCCCCTGGTGGCTGGCTGCAGTACGGGCCGAACTACTTGAAGTACACAACAAATACATGCAGTTTGAGGTAGTTTGATGAATATTCAAGTTGTAATGAGTTGTTTGACGATGTATAAACAGGTGTCTTGACTGACAGCTGAGTTCAGTGACCTCGAGAGACAACGTGTTCATCAAACTTAAGATGCTGAGTCACATGAGAACCTCCTCTCTATCCCCGTCTCCCTCAGAGAACGACCCCAGCCCACAGCTGCTGGCCTCTTCGGTGCCGAACGACAGTCCGATCTCCGCCCTCAAGCGAGGCTCCGGACCCCCTCTGCCCCCCCCGCAGCCGTGCCAACCCAGCAGCCGCAGACGCTTCACCATGAGCGGGGCGGCGAGCAGCCAGAGCCTCGCTGTCTGTGAGATCCACCACAGGGGCCTCATGGTACAGCTGTCCGAACCCTGCGCCTCTCTCTGATGTTGCTTGAACAAACCTTTAATATTTGTTGATCTGGACTTTAAGTTGAGATTAAACGTTGACGGTGCAACCCCCCCCCCCCCCTGCAGGTTTACTGTCGGACAGACCGAGCGTGCATCTGTCCCGACTGTGAGGCCGAGCAGCATCAGGGTCACGACACGGTGTCTGTGGAGGACGAGTGGACGGAAACTAGGGTAAGAGAACGGGGGGGGGAGGGGGTAAAAACACTTCTGGATTTATAGTGTTAGTATTGTCTCTGGACTCTTGCTTGCAATTAATTCATTTATTTTTGTCAAAAAGGCTCCGAATTGTCATCATATATAAATAATAAATATTAATAAGATAATAATAATGAAGTGTGTGTGTGTGTGTGTGTGTGTGTGTGTGTGTGTGTGTGTGTGCAGTCGCAGCTCAGTGTGTCTGTGCAGGAGATCCAGGAAATGATCAAAGAGAGAATCAGGAAGATTGAGGAGATCAGAAGGTCAGTGAGTGAACTGGAGGTAAGTCTCACACACTCACACACACACTCACACACACACGCACACACACACACACACACACACACACACACACACACACACACACACACACACACACACACACAC